TTATTGTGAGGACAGTGTGGTGAAAGAAAGAGAGAAAAGAGGAAGCCGGACTGTTAGAGAAGCACAATACCTCTCTTGACCCAAAGTAGGTACTGTCAGAGACCCTCTACAAGAAAAAAAAGGCAAGAAACAAGACTAGCAACAAAAGAACTTCAAAATTAATATAGGCTTTTTAAAAAAACATTTTTATCTATTAATCTGAGATTTCTTTATCTGAGAGAGAGCATTCCTATCCACTGGTTTACTCCCCAAATGCCCACAACCACAGGGCAGAGGCCAACGCTGGGAGCCGATAACTCATTCCAGGTCTTTCACGCAGGTGGCAAGAACCCAGCCACCTCTGCCGTCATTGCTATCTGCCAGCATCTGCATGAGCAGGAAGCTGGAGTCAGGAGCCAAAGCCAGAACCTGAACCCAGGCATTCCAATGGGGGACTAGGCTAGACACCTGCTCCTGAAATGGAAATTTACAATGTCCATTGGAATAACAGGCATCTTAAACCCTACCAAGCGGAACTTCCAGCAAGTGGCATTAAGCATGCAAATTTTAGTGTATTTTTTGTGTGCAAAGAACTAAAGACTTGAGCACCCCTGCAAAGTGTGCCAACCCGACCTGGGAGTCCAGATGCTCACATCCCACCACCTGCCAGACCCTCTGTGAGCAGCAGACCTTGCGACACAGGTTGCCCAGCCATGAATGCTTTAGTCTCACTGCCAGCCTACCGTAGCCTCACACATGCTGCTTCCCCCTGGTGTTCTCTACCTCACTGTGGCTTCCGTGCAGCTGTGACTACTGCGCCAGAACAGCAAGCTCAGGGTCACAGGTTCCTCCCTCATCCCTCATACTCGGGAAGACCTCCAAGTTCTGCCCATGGCCCGTGTCCCTCTCCTCTCTGCGTGGTGTCATCTGCTCAGTTCTAGAAGTGACCATCTCTCACTTGAACATGATGACAGCTTCCCAACTGGTCTCCTTCTACCCTACCCTGTCATCTTCCAAGTCACTCAAGGATGTACACAAGTTCTTCTCTAAAACTTCAGGGCAACCAACTCACTATGCTGATTAAACCCTGCTGCACCTACTCCGGTGTCTACAGGACGAGTGCCAGCTCCTTACAGAATGGCACAGAAGTTACCTCCTGACCTGGCTTCTCCTTGACTCTCGGGAGTTCCTCCATTCTACTCTCTCCCTCTCATCTTTATGTTCCAACAGGAATTCATTTCTAACTTCTATAGTACATCTTTCTCTCGTGCCACGGACACACAATTCTTCCTACCTATAATTTCCCTTCCACCTCTTGTTGTCTCTCTAGAGAATTCAACGAAGCTTTCCGTGACACACTCCCTGCACTGCTCCCCCACAAAGTTAATTGCTCTGCTGTGTGTTGTTGTGCTATTGCTTCTATTAGGCTGTCCCGTAGGTGTGTGTCTATAGGAAACTCTTCCACACTCACTCGCAACTCCTCAGGGGTAGGGGAGGAGTCTCCTTCACTACCTAACGCAGGCATAGTCAGAGCTGCATCTGTCTTTGCATCCAGTAGGACTGTTCAGTGGTTCTTGATTCTCTCTGTGGTTTTACAGCTAATGTTTTGCAGGATCTAGTCTGGAAATGTCTATATGCACTGGTTACAATGCCTCATATAAATCCACTCTGAAATAAAACTCAGCTCAGAACCAGAGACCATGCCAAAGATCAAAGTATTAGGAAGGCAGCCCTGAGTCACACATCAGGGGGGAGCATTGCAGTGCTGAAGCTCATGGCTCAGGACAAGGTCATGCCTGTCTGGCTTGAGACAAGATGGCAGGCCACTGCGGCAGGGGAAGCGGTCTGGAACTCGCTGGTGCGTGTGCTTTCGGGACCATAAATCAGTCTTTGGTTCTGCGTCTGGCAGGTGGAGTCCTTCACCGCGACAACAGGCTCTGTTCTGATGAGTTGGATGTTCATGGCACTGAGTCAGCAGCACCAGCTCTTTCGTGTCAGTACTCAGCTAAATGCTAACGACACATCACTAACCAACCGCAACACCCACATGTCGCGTGGTGACATTCAGCATCAACGCTGGATGCTTCAAACAACGCTCCTTAACTCGCACCAGTCAGTCCATGGATCTCCATTATTACACCCTGTGGTTATGTAAGTAACTGATTCTTGTGCTGGTCCTCAGACTAAACGTCTCACACCAACTTTAAACGTCTCTTCTGCACCTGCTCTGCCTTTTGGGTGAAGCTGCCTTCTTTCTCTCACTATTGAATCTAAAGAAGACTAAGTTTTCTATACAAGTTCCCCAAGAAAAGCAGAACTAAACTCTGCTGATGCAGAGCTGTCCTTTGTACAGAACAGAACCAGTCCTCCTGAGTGACACCACACTAAGGACACAAGTTCCCCGTGGGACGGGCCTGACTGCTGTGAATTTTCTCTGAAGGGGAAGTTCCCTATCCACTGAACAATCCAGCCTTTCGCTAAGGAGAAGCCTACGTGCTATGCTGAAACTACATAGGGAGCCACGTCTTCTCTAACAGAGTCCAACGTGCAGAGAATTCGGTTCAGTGCGGCTCCCTTGTGATGAGACGAAACTCCAGGATGGAGGGGATGACCCCTAATGGACACTCACCCCTGCTCTCCCAGGAAAATGGAACAGCTTCATTAGCTCAGCCTCCACTGGTGCAGACAGGGGCCGGTGCGGTCCATTCTCTGCCCACTGAGCAAGCCACCTTGCCATTTCTTCTACCACAGCAGAAGCCTTACCTTGAAAATAAAATGCCTGTACCCAGACAGCGGGGTACTATTCAGCACCACAACAAGTGCGCTATCAAGCCATGAAAACACACGGAGGAGCTTTACCTGCACATTACTAAGTGGCAGGAGCCGTCTGTAAAGGTCACTCACTGTATGATTCCACCTACTGGACAGCCTAGGACAGCAAAACTATGGAGACAATGAAGACCATTGATTTCCAGGGTTCGGAGAGGGGGGTGCATGGGTTAGGGCAGAGAGGATATTTAGGACAGTGAAATTGACCTGGATGATCCTCCAATAGCAGACACATGTCATTAAACATTTGTCAAACCACCGGAACGTAGAGCTTCAAGAGTGAGCCCTAATGTAAACAACGGATACTGGGTGATAATGAACCCGCAGTGGTTATCCTGATGCATTGATTTCCTGTCTGCTTAGTTAGGCTACAAGGATATAATGATGAACAAGACACAACTCCTAAATCTACAAAATTGAGAGCTGAATGTGGGAGAGTTCCTTGTAGAAAAACGCTGAGGTTCATGAACTGCAACACAGGGCAGTGGGGACAGTGCCCGGGCGGGCGGTGTGCACGTGGAGCTGCACAAGAAGTCTCAGTACGTCTTCAATTTTGCTTTCAACTTAAAATTTTCCTAAAAAAAATTTTTTAGAAAAGATTTAGTTGTTGAAAGATACAGTTTGAAAGGCAGAGTTACAGAGAGAGAGGGAGAGATGTGAGAGACAGACAGACAGACAGACAGAGAGAATCTTTTGTTTGCTGGTTCACTTCCCAAATGGCCACAATGGCTGGAGCTAGGCTAATCCAAAGCCAAGAGCCAGGAGCTTCTTCCAGGTCTGCCACGTGGGTGCAGGGGCCCAAGCACTCAGGCCCTCTTCCACTGCTTTCCCAGGCCATTACAGAGAGCTGGATCGGAAGACGAGCAGCTGGGACATGATCCAGTGCCCATACAGGATGCCAGCATTGCAGGCAGAAGCTTAACCTACTACACCATAACACTGGCTCCCAAATAAAACTTTTTCATAAAAAAAATTAAATACCTGATGAAGATGCATCTCTGGGTGCTTTAAAAAGGCTGTCTTTTCTGTTGTATCAGCCCATTCCAACATCTTCCTAATACAGGAGATGAATTTGAGGAATTTCTTTAGATTTCCACTTTTTAATTGCAATAATCTACCTCATACCTGTCTTAGGCCTTTCAAACAGAAGAGCCAAGGCTGACTTAGGAGTCGGTGAGACACATGCATGTTGGATTTACTCTCCTCAGAGGGTGCTCGGTCACCAAAGAGGATAAACACAATAGGATTCACTTTTAATCAGTGTAATGGTTGCTGCCCTAGTGCTGAATGTTTTATTCACAGGATATCAACTGCATGGGAGATAGATCTCAGTGGGTGAGAAATGTGTTGGACCCACATAAACTGCCCCCGCCCCGCCGCACCGCCCCACCACGCGGCCATGTTACCGGTCACCATGGGTGAGCTTACTCAGAGCACACGTGGTCCTTTCAAGTCAGATGAACGCACAAAGGCCAAAGAGCTGCTCTCCAGCCCCCGCCCCCGCCCCCGCCCCCAGGGCCCCCAGCTTGCCGGTCCTCTGACACTTAATCCTGGCCCACCCTCGGCTGCACCATAAAGCCTTCTTCTAGACTATAAAATTAACCAGAACGTTGAGATACGCTGCTAGTGCAAAAAAATACCAGCCAACCAGATCTGGGTGTAAGCAAATGCAAGCCAACTTCTCAAGATTTTACAAGGCTTTCCAGGGTGCATTTGTTACTGCCTGTCTCTCAGCCATCCCATGAAAGACAGTGGAGCACGCTCGTTCTGTTTGTGCGTGCCAGGGAAGATTTCCTAATGATTTTTGCACTTCCTTGGCTTCTGTAGCTCTCCTGTGGGCAGGTATGGTGGAGCACACTTTCCCCCTGGACAGGGGGTCACACGGTTCTCAGGCCGTAAAACCAGGACCTCCCTCACTGGGGGGCTCTCCCCATGTCTGCTGGCCCTCTAAGTTCCCCGCTCCTCATCAGCCCTCCCTGCAGCACACACAGGCAGTTTCTATCACTTCCTGTCTTGTGAAAGCAAATGCAAAACACCCTCCAATGGATTAAACCACCGCAGCCCCTCCCAGCTTTGTTCGCATCACACAGGGGAACACAAGTGATGTTCTGAACCGGGTCCTGGGGCACTGGCTGCCGGCCACTTCCACCGTGGCCATGGCTGTCTCCTGCGCTGGTTTCTCTGGCACTAACCTCAGTGCTTGTGAAAGGTAGATGGCGTGCCTGCCTCCCGGCTCTGGCAGCTGGCACCTTGGGAAGCTGCGCCTGTGCTCACGCTGATGCAAGCTTTCGGGGCTGGTGCTGTAGGTGGTCCCACACCTGCTCTCCATCCCGAGCACCAGCAGCTGTTATTCTAAGACTGACTGAAGTAGGTCAAAGTGTGTGGCCGCATTTCCACGGTGTCATTTATGAGGTAATGATTATGGCCTAAGACCGTGTGAATTGCCATGTACCTGACTGGAGGAATAAAAATTTCATAGCATCATCAAACCACCTTTTTTCATGCAGAAGGTATACACACTCACCAAATCCTCTCACACTTAAATTTAGTCACAAACCCAAAGCCAAAAAAAAGTTAACTGTGCATTGAACACTGAAGCATAGCAATGTCCTTGCTCTGCCTCATATATTCACAGCTTAAACACTCCCGGCATTCACTCCCCTGCCGCTGGCAAGGATCTCCTGTGCCCCAGGCCTCCCACCTGCTGAGGGCGGCCGGCTGTACACAGCAGACACGTGCACAGTGAGGGTGGAGGGACGGCCCTCCAGCACTGAAATGATCCAAGAGAACTCAATACATCAAAATCGGAACCATCCTCATAAACATCTCAAGTTGAAGCCTACGACGGACTCACAGCACCATCATACAGAGGATGAATGACGGGACCCCAAATGGGCAGTAAAAATCTCTCAACACCAGGTTATAAGGAACTAAGCTGGGGGCCGGTGCTGTGGCGCAGTAGGTTAGTCCTCTGCCTGTGGAGCTGGCATCCCATATGAGCACCAGTTCTAGTCCTGGCTGCTCCTCTTTTAGTCCAGCTCTCTGCTGTGGCCTGACAAAGCAGTAGAAGATGGCCCAAGTCCTTGGGCCCCTGCACCCACATGAGGCCAGGAGGAATCTCCTGGCTCCTGGCTTCGAATTGGCGCAGCTCTGACTGTTGCAGCCACTGGGGAGTGAACCAACAGACAGAAGACCTTTCTCTCTCTTTCTCCTCTCACTGTCTGTAACTCTTTCAAATAAATAATAAATAAAATCTTAAAAAAAAGAAACTAAGCTAAATAATATCAACTCCATCATAAACCACCTTATGTTTGCAAGACACGTGTGTGCTAACCAGGTGTGGATAGGGCTAAACTTTCTCATTCTAGGTCCCTGACAAGAAAACTCTAGGAGTCAAAATATGTGTTCCTCCACACTCAGGGATTTTTAACAATTATCATCCTGAAAAATTCTAAGAATATTGCTAAAAATATCAAAGTCTCTGATGGGCTACTAAGCAAATGCCTCCTCCCCATCCACACACTACCAGGTTTTTGCCCCCGGTCATCACAAGGGACAGGTGACAGGTGACATCCTTGTGGGCATGCATGCTACAGGGAAGCCAGTGAGGGTCACACACTCAGCTGAACACAACTCCTGTAGGAAGTCCCTGCATTTGAAATTAAAGACGAAAACTCCTGCTGCAGTGACCCGAGCATCTCCATCCTGCCCAAGCCCAGTGTAACCCTACTAACCTCACTCAGTTCCAAAACACCTTCACACCACACACTTAGGAAATACGACAAACACGTCACATCAGGGCAATCGGCGTGTCCATCCTCTTAAACTTTCAGCGTTTCTTTATGATGAGCACATAAATCCTCCCTTCTGGCTATTTCAGAACATAAAATGCACCATTGTTGACCATTACACAATGAATGCATGCACTGAACCATCATGCTGCACCCAAAACAGGTAAATAATTCTGTGTCAATCAAAAATTAAAATTTGTCAAACAAATATAATTTGGGATATGCTCATGCTCTTTCAACAAGAACGTCTTGGTGACCAGTGCAACAGTGGTTTTGGTAAAGATACAGGAGAAAGCAGAAGCAGCAAGTGTGAGAGAGAACAATCAGTGGTGACAAGCGCAGGCTTCCAGGGTAGAAAGATTTCTTATTTCTGATGTTGGCTGCAGAGGGAAAGGCTGTTCACTCAGGACGACTTCCTGAGTTGCATGCTGTCAGAGCCTGGTTCAGTCTCCAGGTCCCCGGGGAAGCCTGGCAGCTCTGCCCCATTTGAGAGCTGTCAGGGAGGCCCCAGCTGGGATAATTACTCTTTTCCCATAAGCCTCCCTCCTCATTTCCCATCAAGGAGTAGATTCCAGAGGGAGAGCCCTACCCAACAAGGCCGAGGGAGCCGGGGTTCAGAGCTCAAGTGAGAAGCACTGATCGTGATTGGGAGGAGCAATGCTGACACCAGAGAAGCTGGACGTGTCTCTGCCCTGTGTCCTGTGAGAGCTGTCACACACAAGAAGAGGTCCACTGAGTGGACACAATTTCAGGACAACGGTCGGGGTAAGAAGCAACCATTGCAGAAAGTGCGAACGAGAGAGAACACTTTAAGAATTAGATTCAATGATGCCATACACACTGGGAGTTATTTTATGTCTAACGCTCAGTTTCCATTTGTAATAAAATCATGAGTGCTCTACTGAATGGGGGATTAAATGAGACACTAGGTGCAGAACCTTTAAACAGGGCTTGGCACGGTGTTCCAGCCCTGAGCAGATGGAAGGAGGAACGTCTCCAGGGAGCCTGGCTCTGGGCCCAGTGAGCGGCTCACTGGCTCACCTGTCCCCCACCCTATTTTATTTTCTCCATAATGCATCATCCCAGAGAACACGAGGATGCTTGCTTATGCATTGCTTACCCTTTCCAGCAGAACACATGCTCCATGAAGGCAAAGATTTTGTCATTTCTGCTGTTGTTGCTCACTATTTCATGTCCAGCTCCTAAAAGAATTCCTGGCATGTAGTAGCTTCTAAATAAATACTCTCGTGAGTTATTTCAATGAATTGATACCAATAGCCTGGGTGATCTCTAAACTGTCGGCGAACTTGGGTGGCTTGGGTCTGGCTTTTAGTCTAGGGGTTGAGATGACCCCCTCCCACATCGGAGGCCATGGGCTCGGTGCCCGGATCTGGCTCCTGACTCAGGCTCCCACTCGTGCGCAGCCTGAGAGGATCACATGGTGGGATTCCTGAGCCCACAGGTGAGACCTGAGCTGAGGCCCCTGCCCCTGGCTCCAGCCGAGCCCCAGCTGCTGTGTGCATGTGTAAAGTGAGTCAGTGGATGGAATCACTCTCTCTCTCTCTCTCTGAATTTCTTTCTTTTTTTTTTCTAGATTTATTTATTTATTTGAAAGTCAGAGTTATACAGAGAGAGCAGAGATGGAGAGAAAGAGAGGTCTTCCATCCACTGGTTCACTCGCCAGTTGGCTGCCATTGCTGGAGCTGTGCCGATCTGGAGCCAGGAGCCAGGAGCTTCTTCCAGGTCTCCCACACAGGTGCAGGGCCCCAAGGACTTGGGCCACCCTCTACTGCTTTCCCAGGCCATATCAGAGAGCTGGATCAGAAGTGGAGCAGCCGGGACTCAAACCGGCGCCCATATGGGATGCTGGCACTGCAGGCGGCGGCCTTACTTGCTATGCCACAGCACTGGCCCCTCTCTGTGTATTTCAGTCTCTGCATCTTAAATAAGATACATGAAGACATAAAATAAGACACATAATAAGCTCAGGTCTTCTCTAGCTGGGAGTAAATCAAGTAACTTGAGAAGATTCAGCATGATTATTCATAAAAAACGTCCTGCATAGGTACGCTGCATTGTAGCACAGAGGTTCAAGACAAACAGCCGAGACCCAGGCCCATATCCCTAGCATGTCATCCCAAGTCTTCACACTGGGCTCCAGTTTTTCTGTATTGCTCATCGTCTAGTGACAATGAATCACTCAGCATTTCCTGGAGACACTGACGGTGAATTCCCCACCGGCGCCTGGGAAGCAGCTCTCAGAGCAGCCTGCCCTGAACCCTGGACATGGGAGCTCCTTGCTCCATCCTGGACAGATTTTACACCTACCTGTGAGAGTGGGAGCTGCCACAGGCAGCTGTTACCACGGACCTCATGCTCTCACAGTCAGAGGCTGGAAATCCATGCTGTGGGTTGGTTCTTTCTGGAAGCTGCGTGGGAGAATCCTTGCTTGTGAATTCCTGGCTGCTTCTGGCAATCTTAGCTGACTTTGCAAATACCAGTCTCTGCCTCGGTCAGGGCAATTGCTTCTCTGTGTGTGCCCTGTGTCTCAGAGGTCCCTCTGCTTTCTCTTACAAGGACGCAAAGATTCAGGTTGCATCCTAAATTCCAGATGATCACGTCCTAGGATCCTTCATCACACCCGCAAAGACCGTATTTCCAAGCAAGTTTACAGGCACAGGTATTGGACATACCTTCTCAATGGACACGGTTCACCACACTGCGGTATCTCGGTCAGAACAAGAGTGAGTTTGTTCTCATGTATGTCCTCGTCACCAGATGTAGACTCCTTAAGGGCAAGAACCATCTCCCACTCTTTCCTCAGATGGTCCTCACAGCTCACTGTTCTCCCCAGCAGCTGCTAAGTACTCAATCAAAGCATCTGAGAGGAAGGAAGAGAAAAGCGCAGGGAGGGGTGGTTCTAAGCGAATTCTCTCTAGATTTCTCCCATGCATCAACTCTCACTCTTGGACTTCTGAGATTCTTCCACACCTAGGGTCCTTGGCAAGAGCTCCACCAAGAATCCATTACCAAGTCCTGTTTCTGCACAGAGCTGTGGATCTGAAGGCATTCAGAGGCCACTCAGAGCTGCCAGGAGGCCCAGCTGAACAGCTGGGCTGACCCAGCACCTGATAAACCAGACTTAGGAGCATCAGTCTTGTTGTTAAAAGGTATCAGAGAAATGCTATTTTTTGAAGATTCATTTGTTTGAAAGGAAGAGTTACAGAGATAGAAATAGAGATAGATAGATAGATAGATAGATAGATAGATAGATAGATAGATAGATAGATAGAGGAGAGAGAGAGAGAGAGAGAGAGAGAATCTTCCATCCTCTGGTTCACCCCCTAAATGGCCCCAAGGGCAGGAATTGGGCCAACCTGAAGCCAGGAGTTTCTTCCAGGTCACCCACATGGGTGCAGGGGCCCAGGAGCTTGGGTCATCCTTCGTTGCTCTCCTGGGCACATTGGCAAGGGAGTCAGATGGGAAGTGAAGCAGCCGGGATGTCAACTGGTGTCCAAAATGTCAGCTTTCCCCTATACCACAGCACCAGTCCCCAGGGGAATGCTTCTTATAACCTCCTACCCAACCAGTCCCATCAGCACTTAATTAAGAAGAAAAAGGAAGGAGGAGGAAGAGGATGAGGAAGAGAAGGAGGAAGAGGAAGAAGAAGAGCCCAAGCCGGCTTGCACTCAGTCGCTATTCCCGGATTCTCCCTCTGCCAAGCAGCAGAGACTGAGATGGCGAGAACCTCAGAACTCCCATCCAACTGCTTCCCTACCCTTGGAAACTGAACACAGCTCACCAGACAGAACCTCCGGAGCTCTTGGCCCGAGGCAAAGCACTGACATTTCCAAGGCTCCAGCTGTGTTGCTATCAAGTTCAAAGATAAACTTCACTCTAGTTCTTAGAATAGGCACAATCACCCAATTAATTACTCCAAAAATGTCCCTTTATAACTGTATAACCATTAATTACCCCTATCTTTCCCTCTTAAGCCTGGACTTTCAATCTACCTGTAAAACCAAAAAATATGATATCTTGCTGTTGCAAGATTAAGTTTCCTTTTAGTCCCAGAAAGAAGTCAAAACAAAAAGGAGAGGGAGAGAGGGAGACACCTCCAAGCCATGCATAGTTAAGGATTTGGTTTCAGATGGATGTTAAAAAGCAGAGATAATTAGAAACATCATAGGATGTGTGTACAACACAAGAACTGCATTGCTAACAAAAACCATAACTGACCTAATTTCACTGAATGTTCCAATGAAAATGACAGACATGCAAAGAAAGAAATATAATACAAGCGATGGAGGATCCAGATTTTCTCCCTGAGTTTCAAACACATTCCTCAGGCGGCAGACAACACTGAAATGTCACTGGGGCGGGGCGGGGGCCGGGGGGCAGACCCTCGGATGGCCAGCAAGGGTCTGTCTACACATCTGAAAACCCACATTGCAGCTGCTCGACCCCAACAAGACTACGGGATTTTTGTTTGCACTAAACCTCAGCGTACTCAGTGGAACAAAAAGCTCATTAAAGGCCAACCCATCACAAAAGCCTTCTCTTTCATCAAAAAATAAGCAACGCAATTTATTCTCTCTTTCGATCTAGAACAAAATTAGGTAAATCTCTTCCTTCACCTACACAATTCATATGTCTCCAACTGCACACTGAGGAGCAGCTGCAAAACACAGCCAGCAGCGCCCCAAGCCTTATGTCTGGTTCAGACAGCTTCTGGGGCCTTCCTGCAGCCACTGCTCCGTGCAAACCTTCTACGGAAAGGGCACATTTTGTGAGCTATCTCAGGTCACCTGGCAGGAGTAAAGCTTAAGCTGCCATTTTATCTCACTGGCTGTGCTTGGAAATCCCTCGCAACACCTCTGCTTTCACGAAGGAGTCAGGCCGTGCTATTTAATCCTGAATATTCTTTCCTGGATCCCAGGAGGCCAATGCATATGGAGCCTGCCCAATGAAGTGTCACGGACAGCACGATGTCAGCAACAGCCAGGGCTGAGAGGCTGCGGGGGACTCCTGCCCATCACAAACAAGGCCTAGAGCAGCAAGGCCTGGGAAGCCCAACCTCTGTGCCATCTTATCTCTGTCCAGCCTGCTTATCTCCATCTCTGCTTTCATGTAGAGCCCAGCCCTACCAGAGCCTTCACAGTGAACAGGGAAGGAGGTCCTGGCCGCAGAGGTGATGAGGTCACAGCTGTTCATTTATTACAGCGCTGTTGTGTCATAGCAGCTGCGGGTAACGACATCAGCTCCCTGGGAACCTGCTGAGGCACAGGTGAGGACAGGCCAGGCCCTTGGCCAAACGCCCAGCTGGACCAGCACTGACGTCCATCCTCAGGTCCAAGCAGGTGTGGACTGCAAACTGGATCTCCCAGGACTGCTGAGAGTGATGACCACTTCACTGGCAGGCAGTTTTGTTTCTGCTTGAGCGGGGCCTTGTATTTGATTTTCTAGATGTCGCTCTGTAGGCTATTCCCTCTCCAAGGAACATTCACTGAGTATGAGACCGCTCTAGACGCTAGGAAGCACCGCGGTGAATGGAAACCCTCCCTTGCCCAGTGTGGTGGGGGAGACTCACAGCCAGGTTCTCATACTTAAGGGACACAGGGCTCTGCTGTGAGCGAGCCAGGTGGGTCCCATATGTGACCTTCAATGATCCTGGATAATTCTGGGATCCCTGCTCGAAGGGATGAGAATGTCTTAGAGAGACCCATGAGAAATACATGCAGAATGACAAGAGGGAGATGCCGCTGCTTCTGGGGGCACAGGGACTGTGAAGATCAGGGCAGACTGACTTTGCCCCAATCACTGCCTGGGGAGTGATGTGTGCCCAGGTCTTAAACCACACCGAGACTCACCGCCTTAAGATGCCCACACATCTGGGCCAGCACTGGGGCCCAGAGGGTTGAAACACCACCTGCAATACCAGCTTCCCATGTGGACACCAGTTTGAGTGTTCGTTGCTCCACTTCTGATCCAGCTCCCTGCTAATGTGCCTGGGAAAGCAACATAAAATAGCCCAAGTACATGGGCCCCTGCACCCATGCGGGTAGCCCAGAAGAAGCTCCTGGCTTCTGGCTTCTACCTGGCCCATCTCTGGCTGTTGTGGCCACCTGGGGAATGAACCAGCAGATGGAAGATCTCTGTTTCTCCCTCCCTATCTGTAACTATGACTTTCAAATAATAATGAAAAAAAGATGGCCACAGATAACAGCCAGGAGTTCAGGAAGGGCTCAGCTGGGTGGTTCTTGGCCTGTGTGGAGTCTGTTACAGCTGCTAAGGCTCTAGGATCCTCTTACACCAGGGTCTCCTTCTTGTTTGTCTGGTACCTCGGTGTCTGTAACTCCCCTTCCTTCTCTTCCCAAAGCACCTCAGCCTCCTGGGCTTCTCCACGTGGCCTGGGCTTCTCACAAGCATGACAGCCTCAGGACTCCTGGGCCTACGACATGGCAGTCCCCCAGAGCCAGCATTCCACGGGACCGGAAGTGGACGCTGCCAGCCTCAGTGGACAGGATTTATCACATCCTGTCAGCTGAGTGGTCCCAGAGCTTGCCAGGTCCAGAGCGAGGGGATCCAGACCCCATCCTCACACGAGGCGTAGTGAAGACTGGCAGCCATCTTGACTGTCTCAGATGTGTAGCAGACAGAGAAGCAGGAAGCTCCGGCTGACTCAGAGCACACACCATGTGGACAGAGGCTGGCAGTGGCCCCGTGTCTCCTTCTGTCCCAGAGTGCAATGCTCACAGATGCATGGTGGTGGGCTGGGGGTGGGGCTGTTACTGGTGTTGGATTTTCAGAATCCTTACTTCACGTTGCACCTGGTAGGACAATGGGGCCATTCATGTCCCTGGACAGAGGGAAACCAGTCTTCTGATTCAGCTTTTCTCATCCTGAGGATGCTGTATCCAGCAGAGAGGGGAAAGTCTAATGGTCGGTGATGACCTCTAAGACAACATTCTCTCAGGCTTCTGTCCTTACAGCTGAGACACCTTGACTCCCTGTTGTCCCTGGGTTATCTACAGGGCACTTATCATGTCACAAACCTTTGCATCCTTTGTTCCAGACGGCCCCACTGAGATATAAGCATCCTGTTTGGACCCACGGCTCCCCTGCCCCTGCCCCTGCATCATGCCTGGCCCATGCAGAGCCAGGAGCAGTTTCAACTCTGAAAATGCATTATGGTCTGATTGGTATCCTCAGGAGCTTCTCTTGTTGAGAGGCAGTGCACTGAAGACAAACCTGCACTACATGCTGTGCCAAGCAGAACCAGGGAGACCCCTGCCACCCAGCTGTGTTAAGCACAAGGCTGAGGGAAGGCAGGGCCACCAAGCTGTCCCTAAGCTGGCAGAGGGGCTTATCTGGGGCATTCTTAGGTAATCAGGTGATTTTAGAAAAATTAAACCCACACTCACACAGTGAGGCGTGGTTAAGGTACAAACTGAGATGAGAAAACCATTCTCTGAGCACCCTGGCAGGGAGAGGCCAGCGTTTAAGGGTGGGATGACCACAGAGATGATGGAACTGAACCCCGCTTCCTTTATCCTGCTCAGCTTTTCTTCAAGTGCCCGGTAGGGGATTTGGGGGTCAGGGGCATTGGCCCTATCCTCAGCTGCTGAGTCTCTGACCCAAGGCTCCATCACTTAACTACCACATATATGGCCAGTGGATTTCAGACACAGCCTGTGCCCTCCACCAGTAAAGCGCACGTCCCCCCTTCTCATCCCACACACAGATCCCTGCCAGCATGAGACCGTCCCCTGAATCACAGGAGGAGGGAGTCGGTGGGAACAGGGAGGACGCAGAGCCAGGTTCTGCCGCTGTGAGCTGCCCACGGCTCCACATGCTGGCTTCTTTCCCTTCTATCATCTGTTTCAAAGAACCCTCATAAATAAGCATTAAATGTCAGCATCATCCACTTTTTACCATTTCCATATCATTTAAGAGGAACTACTAGACTTCCTTCAACTTCTTACTGGGAGAGTTAAGAACTGAGGACCATGTACACAAATGTCTTCCAGTGTCACAAAGCCAGGGATCTCACCCCATCAAAGCCAGCTGCCCTTCCTGGCCAAGCTCGCGTCCACGATGAAGGAGACCTGCATCCCAGCTAGGACACCCTGTCGGCAAGAGTCACAGCCACGCTGTTTCCTTAAAAGTATGGCTCTATCCCTCCTATTTGACTACAGAAGGCCTGAGAACATCTGGAATTTGCCCAAGTTCAAGGCAAAGGAGCCTGCAAAGCAGGCAAACACTTCTAACCCAGTTCCAGGAACAGAGCTAGAGATACCTGGTTCCTAAACAAAGAGCCCAGTGTCTCTTCCAACTGGAGTGAGTGTTCATTGGCTATTCTGAACATAAAAATAAGTTCTTCATACAAATTCACTCTAAGAAAAAAGAACGTCTGTGTGTTGCTCTTCTGGAGACAAATAGGTAATGATGATGTCAATTAAAATCTTGTGAGTGACCACTGACAGATGGACACAAACGGCGCTTTATTAGCACACAAGTGACTTTGCTGAACTGCTATAAAATACAGTCTCTTCCTTAACCAGCAGAAAGGAAATTGGTTTATATAATAGCAATTACATAATTAGGAGGAACTACAATAATGTTTGACTATTTTGCCTTAATAACTGTGTTATGATAGAAACAAAATGCTATTTATATTAGCCTCTCATTGAAGCCAATAAAAATTAGAAGGCAGCTGATTTTATTTAAGGATGTCTATTTATTGCAGACTTCTTTTAGACTTAGCTACCACAAAAATGACTTTTTGGCTATAAATATGGATGGCTGGATAATTTAATACCATACTATCTTAGCCAAATCAAATAAAAACATATGGACTTCTATCTTCCACTCAAGCAGTATTTCTGTAACTTTTTCTCCAAGCATTCTTGATACGTTCTGACCAGCTCACCATTGCGCTTTCAGTGAGTATCGCAGTCACACAGAGTGACACGGGGCAGGACACTGAGGGGTCAGTTCTGAAAATAAGTGTCTGGACGAGTCACGAGGGGCTGGGGGACAGCAGGACAACAGGGTGAGGCACAGCTGGGCAGGCACCAGATGGCAGTGCTCAGGCAGGGGGCGGAGGGTTGGAAGCAGAAGCAGAAATTCCCCCATTTATCAGGGCACACAGCTGGATGAAGGCAGCTAAGGGGAAGTCCCAGCTGCTGAGCGCACATGGAAAAGAATTACTTGACAAGCAGGCACCTTTCTGCTTACCACACATGGGCAAGCCCTCATGTGAGGACAACACTCGGGCTATGGCCAAGTTGGACAGGGACTCTTGGCAAAACAGTGGTTGAGAGGTGGCACCAGGAAGGGATGCACAGCACCCAGAGTCTCCCACCCGGGTGTGCACCTCTGAAATGGGCACATGATGACGTGATGGACGTAGACAAGTGAACTGTGAATAAGGAGTCCAGAGGAGAAAGTGCTGACACTGCTGAACACAAGGAACGCAAATCCACAGTCACCTGGGTGGAGTTTATAAGTTCCTGTCCAGAGTGCAGGGTTCCTCTTGTTATTTTTTGTTCCTTAAGAGACCACTAAAATGCCTAGATCAAACTTAAGATATCTTCTGGTCATTTTCTCCCTTTGTTGATAATATATTTTTTCCTAGGTTTCACATTCTTCTTATAGCCTAACAACAGTAAAATAAATTTCTAGCTATTCTTCTGTTTTGTGTGGTTTGCAATAAGAACACAAGTGGCCTCAAGACGGGGGCCCAGTTGTTACCTTTGAATCAGTCAAGGTGGCCAACACAGGAGGGTTTACATGACCATTTCTCATATCCAAATGTCTCATTCCCGAGAAGCAATGCAGTGACTTATCTCACAAAAGAATGACTTTACATGTTATCACTCTGAGACAAGGTGCGGCCATTAGTGCTTCCCTGTGACGGGGTGAGTAATGGACAGTTCTGAGTCCAGCAGCTGCCCGAGGGTGGGAGCTGAGCCTGTGCAGGGCCTGTGCAGCCCTGCCCATCTGTGGGAGCTTCAACCCCAGCAGAGCGGCCTTGCCACCTCCACGCCAATGACTGCCAGGCCTGGCTCTGCCACTGGTGCGCCCAGCACGCCACAGCGTGAGGCCTCCATCTCAGCTCTGCCAGCCTTCCTATCGTGCGTGCCATTGCATGCCAAAAGACACAGCCATCAGAAAGCCTCAACTCTCAACAGCAGTGGATGTGAACCAGAACAGG